ATAGATATAGATATAGATATAGATATAGATATAGATATAGATATAGATAGATATATAGATATGGCCATATATATAACTATATATATTCATGCACTAAGTTTATATATACATATATAGTTATGAGTTTAATATAGATATTTAATACACAAGGTGTGGCAAAAGAACCAAGAAGGAGACAATGACTTTGGAATCTGCACATTCATGGTTATAACATCCCAGAGCTAAAGACCTTAGAGGCCATCCAGGCAACCTCTCCCCCGAGAGCATCCTTACAGACTGTCATTCTGTCACAGTTAAATATCGGAGTTGGTATTTGTCTGATTCCAAGCCAAAGATGGCTCTGGGAAATCCATATCAAACCAGGAAGAAGGGAAGAGAAGAAAAGAATGCAAAAATCATGGGAAAATTTTTTTCTAAATACCTTGAATTTGTTGCCAAGTCAGGCCAAAGTGTGGGTAACCTGGGAACCCACTACTTGTGATTGGCATCTGAAGTTGGGGCAGCCTTGAGGGGCTGAGCCCTGACCCTGTGGGGTCTGTGCTAACTCCAGGTCAGTACATTCTCAGATTCTGTGAAAATAGGAGAAACTTATATACCATACAAACGGAGTTTTATTGTCCATGTTCTCAGAGTGCCAAGGGGACTCCGCTCCTTACACTTCTCAAAGACCCTTATATCCTGGTGGCTTCAGGTAAGTTGACAATATTCCCCCTTGGGTTGGGAGAGTCTGGGCTTCAGGGCCATGTGGCTCACAGAACTGTCCTCCCCAGGCTCCCTCTGCTTTGCCAACATGGGAGTGGCCATGCTGGAGCCCACACTGCCCATCTGGATGATGCAGACCATGTGTTCCCCTGAGTGGCAGCTGGGTAAGTGACCTTGGTCCCCAACTCAGGCTTGAGCAGAAGTGTGTGCCACGGCTCTTTCTCAGGTATTAGAGAAGCATCACTAGGTCCAGGTCTTCAGGGTCACAGAGAGACAATGTGCTTCCTTCATAGAATGACCTGCCCATTCACACCTATAAATCAAGCCTGATTGGGTGGGTAGTGCCTCCAAGAAGTGGCCCAAGAAGGACAGGGTGGGAGGGGCTGACAGGGCTGTAGAGCAGCAACTTCCTGTGTGGTAGAACCATTCATGATTTCTAGTCAGAGGACCTAGATTTTCATTTCTATTGGTTGGCTATGCAAACTGTGCAAGTCACAGAAACGTTCTGAGCATCATTTTTCTCATCTCTAAAATAGGCATCAGAATACTATCTAGTTCAAGGGTAATTTGAGGAATAAATGGCAGTCGTGCACCGTAGAACATTAATATGCACCCCCACTACCATCCATATTTTCTCGCTTCAACTCTCCTTTGCCGCATTACTTTTTTTTGCTACCTTTTCACCTCTGAAAAGGAGCTTATGGAAATGTTGTTCTGTAGCCCTCACCTAGGGAAGGTGCTGGGCTCTGTACCCCAGTGGAGAGCTCTGGGCCCAGGAGAGAGGCCTGCAGCCTCCTCTGCTCCATGGAGAGATGTCCTTGTGACCCATCTGAGGAGGGTCTGGCCCTTTCCAGGAAGCCTGAGGACAGGGACAGAGAAGTCTACGTGCAAATCGCTCAGTCACTGCAGGGAGGAAGAGGCTTATGGGGCCAGAGGGGAAGCCGATAAGGACCTGATATGGCTCAGCATGCAATAAAAAGCACTAAATCTAATTTTTTAGAGGACGATTCTAAGCAAGGCTCCCAGCCCCAAATTGAATTTTTCTGGGCTGCAGCTGCCTCTGACCATGACAATTAATTGAGTTAGTCAGTGCTTGGTGCCAACCAGCATCCCTGACCTGAGGTTCTGGCTGTGCAGGTGGGAACCACAGCTCAAAATAACCCTTCTCCAGCCTTCCGTACTCAAAAGAGAGAATATTAAAAGCAAACGAGCATCTGTCAGTGACTGGTGAATTGTTGACTTTGGGCTTGATTGTAATCGGCACAATAGTTTCCATTAGGCAGCACTGTTGCCTCTCCGTGGGAGAGGCAGAATGGCAGGTGAGACCTGAGGAAGCGCACAGGGTGGGTTCCGGGTCCCCCCTTGCAGGCCAGGCTGTCACAGCGTCAGAGCTCAGGGAGGCTTTGTCTCCCCCACCCTTGACAGCGTTCCTCAGGGCTATCTTTATCAAACTGCCGGGAAAGCTTGTTGAAACTCAGATATGGAGGCCCCACCCAGCAATTCAGTGAAACAAGTTTGCATGCCTAGCCAGTTTCCGGGTGATGCTGACACGGCCTCCGTGACCACACTGAAAAATATGGCTCTAAATGCAGATCACCTCTCAGTGCTGGGAGGAAAGGAGACGAGGCTTTGGGAGGGATTGTCGTCCATGACTGAGCACTCTAATGTCCCACGTGCCTGCTGCTCTCACCGAGGGAGAAATACTCGGGCTTTGGAGACAGGCCGCCTGGGTTTGAATCCTGGTAGCCACTTACTGGTTGTGACCTTGGATAAGTTTCCTAACCTCTTGTGAATTCCACTCTTTTTATTTATAAAAATGGAGCAGCTTTTCCTTCATAGAATGAGTTGTTTTCAGGATTAAATGAATCTATGAATTCTAAAAGGAATCGCACCATGTATGGAATATAGGATATACTCAGTAAATCAAAATCATTACTGTTTTCATAATTGTTTTTGTTTAAAGCACTTTGATAATCACAACTGTGTATAATTCCCACCCCTTGAAGATGTGCTATGAAAAATCTATGTGTGTCTGTGGACATACAGTCTGGAATACCTGTTTTGTACAAGATGTGACTGAAATGCAAGTTATTCCTGGGCCCCAAAGAACAAGACACTCTGATTGAGGAAAATCTCATTCAGAAAGTTTCACACCATTTAAAATGACAGTAAGAGGATGATCTAGGAGGCTAGAAGGCTTCCTAGGGGAACTTGATTCCAGACAATCAGGTAAACAGTTGAGTAGTTATAACTTCTAATTTTTTTAAAGCAATTAAACATAAACAAGTGGGTACAGTTTGAAACAGATTGCCACGCTTTACAGGTTGACTAGACAAATCCAGTGAGGTATACTTCACTTCCACCCGCAGAAGAGAATATTAAAAGCAAACAAGCCATCGGCCCGTACGCGGTGAATTGTTGACTTGGGGTTTAATTGTCATCGTCATGACAGTTTCTATTAGGCAGCACGTTTCCTCTCAGTACAGAGAGGCCGAGAGGCTGGCAAGGCCCATGGAAACTCACACAGCTGATTCCAGGTAGTCCCTTGTGCCAGAGCCACCTGGCTGCCACAATGGAGGTGTGGGTGGTAGAAACACCTGGAGTTGGAGTGAGAAGGCCTGGGTCCAAGTCCTGACCCTGTTTCTCAACAGATGATACTAAGGAGGGCCAGTGCTCAGAGGGTACTTAACCTGTGCCAGGAGCTACGCAAAATGGTTGCTATGCATCGTGTCATCTAAGCCTCTCAGCCAGCCTATCTAATAGGAATTAATATGATCCCCATAGTTCAGAGGTTTCTTATTCTGATCCAATTTCCCATTGCCCTCCCAAACCCTGGGCCTTATGGAACACTCTGTTGTGGGCAAGGTCCCAGTACCCTCAGCCTCTTCTCCATACACATCCCATATCTCCTTGCCCTAACTGAGACCTGGATGTTTCCTGAGAATGTTGTTTCATGCAGCCCTTTGGTGCAAACTCATGTTCCTCCTTTGCTGCTTCTGAATCATTTCTTCTTCATTCTCCTTCAAAGAACCCAACTCCTTTGAAGATCATGTCGTTAAGTTATACCACCCACCCCTCTTCACTTCAATCATCCACATCCCCTTACTTACCCCTTCTCATTCATTGAAGCTGTCAACACTGGGCTCATTTTCTTTTTCATCTCTACTCCTGTCACTGTTTTTGGTGACTTCAGTAACCAGGTGGATAATCCTCTGTTATTTAATTTTACTCTTTTGAAATGATCTTTTTCTCCTCTCCAATCAATCTCAACCAACCAAACCTTCGTGTAATCTTGACATTGACATCATCATTAATTGTATCACCTCTGAAATCTCCATTCTAAGCAGTCCAGTTATCCCCTTCCATATTCCCTGCTTAGGTACTCTAATACCCATGGCTGTAGGAACCATGCATAAACCAGTTAGTGGAACGTATCTGTGTTGAGGATCTTTCTGCAGAACTCTAGACTTGTGTGCCCAACTGCCTTATGTCTCCAGTTGGACATCTAATAGTCTTTCAAGCCTTTCATGATCCCTCCAAGCTCTTTCTTCATCTCCAGTCTCTAGCCACCCAATTCATTCAGTCAAAAACGTAGGTCATCCTTGATTTTTCTCTTTCCCCCACTCCTATGCCTGTCCCCAATCCAACAGAAAATTCCACTGACTCTACCTGCAAAATACCTTCACTTCTCTGTATAGTGACTTCTTTTTTAAAAAATCATTATTGTTGAAAATATTACAGATGTACCCCCAATTATCTCCCCATTGCCCCCCTTCACCCAAATACCCCCTGCCCCAGGCCTTCACCCCTCTATTGTCTGTGTCCATGGTTAATGTATTTATGCATATAAACTCTTTGGTTAATCTCTTTCTGCTCCCCTACCCCTCCCCTCTGTGATTCATCAATCTGTTCCAATTTCCATGCCTCTGGTTCTATTTTATTCATTAGTTTATTTTGTTCATTAGGTTCCTTGTTTGTTTATTTTTATATTCAATTATCGATAGATATGTATTTATTGCCATTTTATTGTTCATATTTTTATTTCTTCTTCTTTTTCTTCTTCTTCTTCAAAACCCTTTAACATTTCATGTAATACTTGTTTGGTGGTGATGAGTTCCTTTAGCTTTTTCTTATCTGGGAAGATCTTTATCTGACTTCAATTCTAAATGATAGCTTTGCTGGATAAAGAATCTTGGTTATAGGTCCTTGCTTTTCATCACTGCATATTTCTTGCCACTCCCTTTTGGCCTGCAGAGTTTCAGTTGAGAAATCAGCTGACAGTGGTATGGGCCCTTTCTTGTAGGTAACTAACTGCTTCTCTCTTGCTGCTTTTAAGATTCTTTCTTTGTCTTTAACTTTTGGCATTTTAATTATGATGTGTCTTGGTGTGGGCTTCTTTGGGTTCATCTTGTTCAGAACTCTGAGCTTCCTGGACTTGTATGTCTATTTCTTTCACCAGTTAAGGGAAGTTTTCTGTCATTATTATTTCAAATAGGTTTTCAATTTCTTCTTCTTCTTCCAGCACCTCCATGATGCAAATGTTGGTATGCTTGAAGTTGTCCCAGAGGCTCCTTACACTATATTCATACTTTTGCTCTTCTGATTGGGTGTTTTTTTTGCTTCCTCATATTCTAAATTGCTGATTTGATTCTTGACATGCTCTACTATTGATGCTCTGTAAATTATTCTTCATTTCATTTAGTGTATCCTTCATTTATGACTGGCCCTTTTTTATGTGGTTGATGTTCTCACTAAATTTCTTAAAGTTCTCATTAAGTTTTGTGAACATCCTTATAACCATTGTTTTGAACTCTGTATCTGGTAGTTTGCTTGCTTCCATTTCATTTAGTTCTTTTTCTGGTGATTTCTTCTGTTCTTTCATTTGCAATATGTTTGTGTTTTTGTCTTTGTTGTTTTGTCTCCACATTTTGGCTGCTTTCCTGTGTTTGTTTCTATTTACTAGGTAGATCTTCTATATCTCTTGGAATTGGTAGAGTAGCCTTGTGTAGTAGGTGTCCTATAGGGCTAGTGGCTCAGCCTGTCCATCACCTGAGCTGGGCACTCTAGGTGTACCCCTGTGTGGGCTGTGTGCATTGTCCTGTTGTAGTTGAGCCTTGATTATAAGGCAGGAATTTCACTTCCTAGGAAATATGTATGTCTTTCTCTAAAGCTCATGTTCTTATACTGATAACCAAGGGTATTTGATACATGAGAAGGCTCATTAGGGCTGGTACATTAAATGTATTAAAATCCTGCTCCTGAGGAATACAGAGGTGTGGGACCCTATGTCATCTGCTCTAAGTTTGCACAAGGATCTCCCACCCACAAATCAAACTGGTTTGCAATCCTTGAAGGAAATCTGGAGACTTCAACGTATTACAGGAAATAAGGTGTTTTAGAGTAAGTGGGGCATGTCCTGAAATGCTGACCTGTGTCTTTCTACAGGTCTAGCTTTCCTGCCTGCCAGCATCTCCTACCTCATTGGCACCAACCTCTTTGGTGTGTTGGCCAACAAGATGGGTCGGTACGTAGATGGGGGATCTGGGAAGAACAAGAGAAATGTAAGGTAGGACAGACTTTTGAGGATGTTCCTGCACATGAGATGATGAACAACTTCCCTGAGGTTGGAAGTTTAGTACAAGTACGCACAGACAAAAAATGCCCACTGTGAGCATGGGGCTGGTTAGGTGGTGAGAGCCATAAGGAGAAAGGAAGGTCCTGAGCTGGTTGCTGTAGAAGAGGCAGTAAATATTTGAGGGACAATCTTTACTTTCCAGATGTTTATTGTCCAATTGAAAAGATAAAATAACCCCACAGAGAACAAGTATGAAAAAAAGCAGTTCTCTGGGTCAGTGTTTCCAAACTGTGTTCCATGAAGCCCACAGAGGCCACCAAGGGTTGAGGACTAAGAGGTATCAGTCTGGATCCTATTCCTCCATAATAGTGAGAATAGCTTTAATTTTATTTTTGTAGTGCAGTATAAAGATTTTTAAAATAACTTTTAAAAACAGAGAAATCAGAGAATGAAAGAAGTTTGGTTGTGTTTTTTTTTGGGGGGGTATGTGGTTTCTGAGATGGATCTTGAAGACCACATGAAATATGAATACAGGAGTGGTTGTCTGAATTGGGAAAAGGCAAGAATCAAGTTACTTCCAAGGGGCCAGCGCCTTCTCGGTCCACTGGTTCCCCTTCTTCAGGAAGGGAGAATGTTACCATTACCTCCTCTGCTTCTATATGGGAAAAAGTATGCAGTCAGGAAAGAGATGGGGGAAGGAAAGGACAGAGAAAGGGCTCACCTGGATACAGTCTGGTCACGTAGAGATGCATTCATCTTCTGATGTCCTACTGGGTTCTGGAATTAGGAGTGGTAGGACTAGCCAGTGTGGTGGTGATGAGGTGGCAGGTGGAAGGGATCTCTCCTTTTGGCATCATTTAACGACAGCTCTTTTTTCCCAGATGGCTTTGCTCCCTGATTGGCATGGTGGTAGTAGGTACCAGCTTGCTTTGTGTAAGTATAATAAGGTCTAGTTGGTACAGACAGAGAAAGAAAGAGAGAGACACCAAGAAATTTAAACACCACTTTCCTTTAAAATGAGCAGAGGGTGGACTTGGCAAGGACTCAGAAAGGCCATTTCTGCTTAAGTAGGAATTTAGCACCGAAAGAGATGCCACCAGGCATCCCATTAAAGATAGGTAAGGAAGTAGAGGGAGAGGGCAGTGGGAGGGTTGGAGACGGAAGTCTGAGACTCTGTGTATGGGCATATGAAGCAATACATGTTGGTATCTATTTCTGGGGCCAGCAAGATGGTGCATTTTATGGCTTCATTTATTCATCCCATCTTGACAGAACCCCATAAGCCACTAGGTGAGCCATTATCTGTGCCTCAGCCTCCAGGACCAGAATATTAGATAGAAGAGGAAAGAAAGAAGGGCTTTTCCATTTTCAAGAGTCCCTTCAAGCTCTCTAAGCTGTTATTGTCTCCTCTTCATAATGGAGACCATAAGCACACTTACAGGGTTGCCAAGGCAATCCACATAGACCACAGCAGTGTCTGGCATATAGTGAGCCCCAGTGAATCTTAGCCAATATTATTAATAAAATATAAATACCCCTTGAGGAATCTTTCCCAAAGTTATTATCAGCCATTAATATCAAAATGATACATTAAACCCTCTGAGGGGTGAGTGTGCTGAAGTAGCAAGTTTGGGTGACTGATGCCCAGGGAGGAAGGTAATGAACCAGCAGAAGAGGAAAGGAAGGCTTCCATGGATGTCAGGGAGGGTGAGAGAATGAGCTTCACAGGCTTGTTTGTATCTCCTCTCTTTCTTGCTCCAGTGGCTAAGAGTTAAGACTGGATGATGTTGCTAACAGAAATGAGAGGAACTCCATTCAGTGAAGAATGAGGATAGAAGTGTGTGTTTGGGTGGAGGGGGCAGAGAACAGGGAGGAAGAATCCATGCAACAGAAAAGGACCATTGTTATGATATAAAGCAGTCAAATCTGAGGTTCACCATTGATCTTGCCCCTTATTAGCTCTGTAACTTTGGACAGATCGAACAGTCTAGTGTTCATATCTTTAAAATGGAGGTAAAGAGTCTTCTTCATAGGAAGTGTGAGAATCCAAACAGGTGGCACACGTGGCACAGAGCACGTGAGTGCATATCATGGGAAAATGCTTTGTTATGCTGCCTGCACATGACCCAGCTGGACTCCTGATGAACTCTTCCTCTTTTCCTACCGCAGGTTCCTCTGGCTCGTAATATTTTTGGCCTCATTGGTCCCAATGCAGGGCTTGGCTTTGCCATAGGTAAGAAGTGCCCTTAAAGCAGTGGTTCTCAACCTGTGGGTCGCGACCCCTTTGGCCGTTGAACGACCCTTTCACAGGGGTCGCCTAAGAACATCCTGCATATCAGATATTTACATTACGATTCATAACAGTAGCAACATTACAGTTATGAGGTAGCAACGAAAATAATTTTATGGTTGGGTCACAACATGAGGAACTGTGTTTAAAGGGCCAGTAGGTTGAGAACCACTGTCCTAAAGGAAATAAGAAGAATCTAAATGTTGGCTTTGGGTCACACCAGAGGAGGTCTATGGAAAGGTAGAGGGACGAGGAGGGCAGCTGGCAGGGGTATGGAGAGATGGGCTCATATTCCTACCTGGAATGGGTGTCATGTTGAGTGGGGGGACAGCAGGCTAAGGAAGTGGACTAAAGAGGGGAGGGGAAGGGAAGATGCACAGACAGGGAGGAGCCTGGGGGTATTGCTGGCAGAAGGTATTCTGTTTGCTCTGGCCACAGGCATGGTGGATTCCTCTATGATGCCCATCATGGGACACCTGGTGGACCTGCGCCACACCTCCGTGTATGGGAGTGTCTATGCCATTGCTGATGTGGCCTTTTGCATGGGCTTTGCTATAGGTAAGTTGGTGAGGGGAGAGAGGAGCACCCAGGACCTGGTGTCCCGTCTCCCTTTCCCACTGTTTACCAGGGGAAGTGGCGCTGGGATACTGACCCTCGCAGGGTTCTGGAGACATTTGACCCTGGGACATCCTCTGGGTCACCTGCTGACCCTCACCTGGTGTCTTCAATAAACACTGGTGACTTTGACTTATCTCTCACAGGCCCATCCACTGGGGGTGCCATTGTGCGTGCTATCGGTTTCCCTTGGCTCATGGTCATCATCGGAGTCGTCAACATCATCTATGCTCCTCTCTGCTGCTACCTGAGGAGGCCCCCAGCCAGAGAGGAGAAGCTTGTAAGGGGCTCTGACAACTGCTGAAAACAATCTTGTTTCTTTCCACGTTTCTCTCATTCCTTTCCACTCTGTGCTCTTACTTCCTCCTGGTTTAATCGTTCCTCTGCTTTGCCAAGTGTTCTGATCCTCTTTCCATCTTTATCTTTCCTTTGTGGACTTCCTTATTCTCCCTTCTCTACATAACCACTTCCTCTCTTACACCAGGCAGGTAAGCAGGGTCCTACGTAAACAAGGAAAATGGGAAGTTTGCAAAGAGTTGGGAGCAGGGACCATCAAAGGCATTTTATAGTTGATGTAGTTACTAGCAAAGCATGAATTACCAAATTATCTCCCTAAAATGGATAGAATTCCACTGGGTTCATTCATTCATTCATTCATTCATTCATTTGTGTCTACCATGATCCTTACCAGGTCATCTCAAACTATCAAAACTGTAGGGGAGAGAACCACCACATATGATTTTAGTTGACAAGATACTTTCCTCTTATTGAAGTATGAGCACCCTGAGGGCACGGGTGGGTTAGGGATGGATGTGGTGGCTGCTCAAAGGAACAATAGAAGAAAGGTCTGATTGGGCGGGGAAGGGGAGTATGCCGATTTCAGCTGTAGCCTGCACTACCGTTCTATTAGGATTCAATTACAAGGTATCAAATGTTTACCTTGACTAGGGTTGCTACAGTTAGGTGCCCTGGGAGGCCTGGCACGTACATGAAGCAGAAAGAGGGTCCTATGCTTGTTCCTTGAGTCTTTCCTGAGCAACCCTAGACTTGGATGAACTAGCTGGGAAGGGAATGAAGAGACTGAGTAAAGATGTTCAGTGATTTCTCTTCCTGCCTCTTGCTGCAGGCAATTCTGAGCCAGGAATGCCCAATGGAGACCCGGATGCATGCAGTCCAGAAGTCCGTGAGGGCATTTCCACTGGGGGAGAACAGCGATGAGGAGCCTGTCAGTGAGGAGTAGCAGCAGAAGGTGGTCCCTGAGCCTGTCACATGTGGTTCTATGAGGCTCAGACCTCAATGATCACCTCTTTCCCTGGAACCATGGGCCGCTCAGTCGGCTTCATTTCCCCCTCCCCTGGTGTCTCTCAACCTCCCTCCAATGGATGCCAGCCCAGGTTCTCTCCTCACCCGTGTAACCCACAGCTCCCCCTCTCACTTCGATGCCTCAGGTGGCCCATCTTTTTTGGGAGGACAGAGTGATGCTTTCTCCTAGGCTTCTGGGAGGCTGATTAAACCTGCACGATGACAGGTTCTGCAAGATGTGACTCATTTCCTGGAGGCAGCAAAGAGCACCCCCTGAAACCAGTGGGGTGACTGACAAACCTCATTTCATCTGTTGTCTGGTTTTCTTTGGCACGTCCCCAATAGATTCTCAGGGCTTTGTGCTCTGTTCCTCCCCGAGTTTTTCCGGCTAAGTTGAGAAAGCTTCCTCAACATGGTACTGCTGCTAAATTGCCAATCTGGGAAATCTTTTGCCTGGTTTGTAGTGTTTTTCCCTGTGGCAGAGCCTACAGCTGCTAATGTGACTTTTTCCTCAGTGAATGGAGGACTCTTTTTTTCATTATCACATGGAAGG